TGAAGACTGCTGTAAAGAAATAATCTCATGGTAGAACCTGAAGCATAGAGAGGACATGTTTGGGGCCAAGGTGGGAGTGAAAGGAGATAGTCGACTTATATCATTAGGCAGCCGTCCATCTTCTCCGCTGATTCATTTATTCATTCGTTAACTCATTAATTGATCCATTCATTCATCCATCAGATTTACTGGATACCTACTATGTGCTAGGCATAGTTCTGAGCACCGGGGTACAGAGACTTAAAAAAAAAAAAAAAGCAAAACAAAACCAGATAATTCCAACTGTGAAGGAGTTTGCACAGCTGGGATGTCACCTGTTATTCTGTGTCCCAGCATGGATGTGCGTCCTCTGCAGGGCCCCAAAGCCACTGAACCCTGGCGGTCTCCTTCATCTGTCTTCACCCCCCCAACAAGGCTTTCTCTCCAACACATGGGTCTACCACTGAAATCAGCTTCAGTGCACAGGGCACAGTGCACAGGGTGAAGCTTCAGCTTCACAGGGCAGTTTTAATCTTAATTCTTAAGTTCCAGTGGAAGGAATCAAAACTAGATGGAAAGAACTTTCTGATCCAGAGACTGAGTCCTGGAAAGCAGCTTGTGTATTCACTGGTTTAAAGTATTTTAAACAGGCCCACCATGTAAATATGAAGAGAAAAAATTCAGCATGCAAATACATATAGATAGAATGATCCCTATTTGGTAAAAAAAAAAAAAAAAAAAGTATATTTATACATACACACACATGTGAAGAGAAAATACGGAAAGGAAACACAACTGAATGTTTCTTGGGTTACCTCAGGATAGTGGATTCACGGGAGAATTTTTGTGTTTCCTTTACCTTTTCTTCATTTCCCTAATTTCCCATACTGAGTATTATTATTCAAAAGGAACTTTTTGTAAATCAGTTTTTAATTATTGCCACCGCTTATGGAGTGTCGTTTACTCAAACTTCAAAAAGCCTCTAGAGACCTTTGTAAAGCGGCTGGTAAAGTTCCTTGAATGCTCAGCGATGATCTTCAGCCCATCTTCATTTTACTGATGAGCAACTGAGCCTCAGGAAGGTAAACATCAGGTCCCAGGAGGCTCAGAATGAGAATGCACGCTCGGGGCAGCAATATCAGTGGTAAATCCTGAGCAGGACTAGAATGCATGCACCCGTCACCCTTGCTAAGGTGCAGATTAGCACACGTGCCTGGTGCTGCTGGTCCACAGGCCACACAGGAGGAGGCAGGGTCTGGAGTCCGAGGCCTGTGTTAGGTTCCTGGCTTTATGACTGATTAGCTGGGAGGTGCCTTACCTCTCAGTGTCTCCGTTTCCTCGTCTGTCAGTGAGTCACGAACGCTAGCGTCTACTTTGACAGGTGGTTATGAAAGTAAAATGAAAAGATGTTATCTGTGGAGCATTTAGCACGGTCCACACGAGTGCTGAGTAAATGTTAGACATTTTTCACAAACCCAGTCCTCGTTCCCCGAGTTACACCATCCTTAGTCTTCAATATCCGCCAGCCTTACTGGAATCTATCAATGCCTCTCTTATTCCAACTGCCCCAAGCACAGTCTCAACTCACCCACACATAGATGTAAATATTGTCTAAGGGGCCTCTGTTTGCAAGAAGGCCCAAGAAAATACTAGGTCTTTCTTTGCTACAGAAATTTACTTTGCACTTTTTTTAAAAGGTAAGGGATCTTTGGTTGAAATGTTTGCTTGGGGGCTGAGTATTAAAATTTATGTTCCTGAACCCACCAAAACAATTTTCTGTGAAAATTTCAGTTTTAAAAATTAGTGCAAAGAACCTTGAAGGAAGAAAAGGGGGGGGGGTCGGTTTGTTTGTTTCACAGATACTTCAAACGGTTTCCTCTTAACACAGATGGAAGGAGAGGGTGGTGACAGGGAGCAAAGAGCAAAGGGGGAGGAGAGAGTAGGGGGAAGTAAAGAAGACCCACGAAAGAAGCCCTGTTCATTGACGCACTTTCTGCCTCGATACGTTAATTCTCTGAGATCCCCCAGCGTCAGAGGAGCAGAGCTTCCTAGGCGAATGCTGATTGTCTCACTTGCTCAGGTAAAGATCAACAACGAGGAAGAGACTAATCAGGGTGGATCAGAGACAAGTCACCTGAGTTTTGTTTTCCTCTTCTTTGCCCCCATAAAGGATGGATGAGGAGGGAAAGGTGGGACACTGCCTCCTGATGGTTACTGGAACGTGCCCACCTGGCCACGTGCTCAAGCCCAGCTCTTTTTTTTTTTTAATTTTTTTTTTCAACATTTATTTATTTTTGGGACAGAGAGAGACAGAGCATGAACGGGGGAGGGGCAGAGAGAGAGGGAGACACAGAATCGGAAACAGGCTCCAGGCTCTGAGCCATCAGCCCAGAGCCTGACGCGGGGCTCGAACTCACAGACCGCGAGATCGTGACCTGGCTGAAGTCGGACGCTTAACCGACTGCGCCACCCAGGCGCCCCAAGCCCAGCTCTTTTGTAAGTGATGACTGTCTCCAGGGTGACTGAATGGCTTAATTCTGTTATCTGGCTGTTGGCTGTCAGTCTAGACAGAGTCTTGGCCAAAGCGTGGCAATGGCTGCGATGGAGATAAAGAAGAGCAAGGAGATTCCCAAGGTTTCCGGGGGCTTCCAGGGGCCTTTTCTTGGATTCCCTGAGGGTGGGATGTGGCTGCTGGCCTTCCTTGCTCCATAGGTCCACCCATGGGAGCCTGGCTTCAGGAAAGTCCTTCTCTGGCTATAGTTTGTTTTGTTCTGGTGGGGGGCATCAGGGACCCCTGAATTCTTTCCACAACACCACCCTTCTCGTACAGCACATTTAGGTCCCCCCACCGACTAGATGAACACAATAAATAGCAGGGGCCCATAAATGCCCCATGATGACAGCACCAGAAAGCACTGTACAGTTCACAGAGCCCCACCCCATGTGACCTTGTTTGATCCTTAGGACAACCCGTGAGGTATGACTTAAGAGCATCATTTTATAATTGAGAAAACGAGGATCAAAGATTAGGTGACTGGACCCAATCCCACAGAATGTGAAGTGTTGACTAATAGTGAGGCAACCAAGTACGAAATGGGAAGTAAATAATATATATCTAACACGGAATACATAAATGTTCCCCAACTGAACGGTGAAGTTTGGTGAGATTTACCTTCTGGTCAAGCTGAGGCTATTTTGGGCAAACAGCTTACTATTTATGCACCTCTGTGTACTTTTCCATCTGTGACTGGTTTGACAGCTGTTTGTTCATTCACTCATTCATTCATTTATTCATTCGACAAATATTTATTGATTGGCCGCTGGGTGAAACCCCAGAGGATGGGAAAGAAGACGCACTGACCACCAGAGCTTTGAAGGGGAGGCAGAAAGGGGAGGGATGCCAGAGCAGCCGTGAGAGTCTTTGAGAAGAATGTCCACAGGCTGTTCAGGAGGGTGGGGAGGAGAGCCTTCCCCCCACCCTCCCCCCACCGGGGAGTGGTGAGAATCTTCTGCTGCTGCTGGTGAGGACACGTGACTCTGGGTCCCCGCTTTGAAAGCTGCGTTTTGCGATCCCGTTTCTCTTGTTGGATTGTTCGAGGTTCAGCGCAAAGCATTCTACTCGGTTTCGGGTTTGCACGTTCTTAGGGCTTGAAATTCAGCTGAGGAAAATTGCAGTCATTATTTCTTGTCATCTAGGGATAGCTGGGGAGGTTGGGCTCTGGAGTCAGTCCTGAGTTTAAATTCTGGCTCGGCCACCTAACATCTGTGTAACTGCTCACAGTTACTTACCTCTTTGTAAGACTACATTTTCTCATCTGTAAGTAGGTGATAATAAATGCAGCTACCTTAAAGAGCTGTTGCAGATATTAAATGGAATCATGCAAGTAAAGCGCTTAAGACATAGTAAGCAATCCATACACCCCCCCCCCCCCCCACCAAAAGATCATCTTTAGGAACTTTGGAGTGGAAATAGGTTATGCGAGGTTTTTGAAAGATCATCTTTTTCTTTTTAAAATTTTTAAAATATTTATTTATTTCTGAGACAGAGAGAGACAGAGCGTGAGTAGGGGAGGGGCAGAGAGAGAGGGAGACACAGAATTCGAAGCAGGCTCCAGGCTCTGAGCTGTCAGCACAAAGCCCGACTCGGGGCTCGAACTCACAGACCGCAAGGTCATGACCTGAGCCGAAGTCGGACGCTCAACTGACTGAGGCGCCCCGAAATCATCTTTTTCTTTTTAGTACCATCCAGGTATGTTAAAAGACAATTATACCTTTTTGATTTTTTGATATAGTTACCTTACCACTGTTTGCTATAATTTTGGTGTCCCTCCCCCACATTGGGTTCACGTATATATTTTTAAATCTATTTCAAAGATCTTACTGGCTTTTATGTAAATATAATAAATATTTCCAGGGTGAAAATTATCGCAGCTACCAAATTAAACATTTTGTATCTCTGGGGTGCCTGACTGGCTCAGTCAGAGAGGAGTGTGTGACTCTTGATCTCGGCGTTGTGGGTTTGAGCCCCATGTTGGGTGTAGAGATTACTAAAAATAAATAAACTTGAAAAAAAAAACATTTTGTTATATCTGATATTTGAAGCAGAATGGAAAGGCAGGGGAAAAACCTCCTAGTGACTTGAGTGGCAAACATGTTTTGAGGAGTACACGCAGTTTACACAGCTATCTTTATTGTGTGCAGACATAAAACATGATGGGTCTCGTGTTGAGCATTCTGGGGGTTAGAAGGCTGTTTGCCAAATGTGATTTCACACCTTGGAGAGGACAGATGCTCATCTGAAAGGTTTCACTCAGAGGTCTCACTGATGGCCGTGCCTCTTAAAGGTAGCCTTAATCATAGCCTTTAAAAAAGAAATCATATGGTCATTATGTTTGGGTATGTTTGGGTATATTTGGGACCAACTAACTCTCTTGATTCAAAAACGCTGAGAAAACCAAAACATTTCTTTTCTTTTCCTTTTTTTCTTTTTATTCTTGGTTTTTTTTTTGTTGTTTTTTTTTTTTACAGAAACAGCAGAACAGATCCTTCCGGAAGCTACATGGTCTGTTAATATTGTTTTAGGACCAAGTAAGTGAAGCTATTCGGAAATCAATATTTAAACGTTCTTATGAAGTGAGCCATATGTCAAGTAAAATGGGACAAAAGGAGTAGAATCGTAAAAAAGAAAATACAGAATATCTGTTTATGGTGTTACTTCATATGTCTATTTCCCTCTAGGCAAAGTTTTTTATTATTGTTGATGTGATTCCTTTTATTCTGTTGTCAGTACCACCAGAGCAGGTAAGTAATAAATGATTCTGATTGTTATTTTATATCCATATTGTACATCTTCCCCTGTAAATGCCTATTCATTTCGTGGATATGAAAGTGACAGAATAACATCAGTGAAAGTCTGAAAAAAGAAAAAGAAAAAAACAAAACCAGAAAACATCCTCTCAGGCTCCTGACACAACGACTGGTATTTCTGTGTTGATACTTCTGTGTAGTACTCACGGTGATTTCCTGCCCAGGCTCTGCGGTCAGGGGGGTGGAGCTTGCGTCCCTCCTCCTCCTCGTAACAGTGGTTTGACCTGTGCCAAATCGCTTCACTCTCTGTGCTCAGTCTCCTCACCTGCACAATAGAAATGCTAATAATAATGCCTACCTCTTGTGGTTAGCATGAGGATTAACCGGAACAGTAAATGGAAAACTCTTGCATGGGGCTTGACGTAGTGATTGCTCAATAAATGGTAGTTATTCGTGCTGTTACCATTATTTTCTCCTGGGGTCCTTACCATAACCCTGTGAAGTTAGAGAGTCAGTATTGGTGTTATCTCTCATAAGAGAACTGAGGATCTGAGAGGGTAAATGACATTCACAGTTCTGGTCCAGTGGTGTTTTTTAAGACAAACGTGAAATGGTACATGTTTCTGCTTCTCAAGAGATTCCTTTTAAGGGACGAGTTCACTGCCTCCTGATGTGATGCAACGGGAGGTACAGTGTCACCTGTGACTTCCTTGACTATCTTGCCAAAAAGGTTTAACTGGAATGAATCACACCTTTCTATGACACCTCAAATTTACCAGGCATAGAAAGGGTAGAGGGGTTATATTAAATGGTATTATGAAGAAAAACAGTCAAGCAAATGCATAATGTGGAACATTCTACAATACAAACTGGATGTCTTTTCAATGACTCAATGAAAATGCCACAAGGAAAAAAAAGGGAAAAGAGGTGAAACAGTTGGGGGATTGTTCTAAATTAAAAAGAGACAAAACAGGGGTGCCTGGGTGGCTCAGTCAGTTAAGCCTCTGACTTCAGCTCGGGTCATGATCTCGCGGTCCATGAGTTCGAGCCCCGCATGGGACTCTCTGCTCTCAGCACAGAGCCTGGTTCAGATCCTCTGTACTCCTCCTCTTTCTCTGCCCCTCCCCTGCTTGCATGTTTTCTCTCTCTTTCTCAAAAATAAATAAACATTAAAAAAATGAAATGAAATCTATAAAAATAAAATAAAATAAATAAATAAAAGAGACAGAAGAAACAAAAGCAATTTAATGGTCTTTAATAGAATACTGATTTGAACCTAAAAGGAAATTAGAGGATTGAATATGTATGGATATTTAGACAATAGCGGGGAACTATTGCTAGTTTTGTCAGGTGTGATAGTGGTATATGGTTATTTTTTGAAGAAGCATGTTGAAGGATTTAGGTGCAAATTGTCTTGCTGTCTGTCATTGTAAATGATATAGCAAAAAAAAAAAAAAAGATAAAGTAAATATGACAAATATTATCAATTCTTGAATGTGAGTGGTATGGTGGGTATATGGGGATCTTTGCACTATTCTTTCTCTTTTTGTGAATGTTTGAAATTTTTCCTAATAAAAAGTAAACAAATAAAACAAAAGGAGACTTTTTAGAAAGCAGAAGCTGTAGGGGCGCCTGAGAGGCTCAGTCAGTTGAGCTTCCACCTCTTGATTTGGGCTCAGGTCATGATCTCACGGTTTGTGGGTTCCAGCCCCATGGTGGGTTCCATGCTGACAGCATGGAGTCTGCTTGGGATTCTCTCCCTCTGTCTCTCTGCCTCTTCTCAGCCCCTCTCCCACACACACTCTCTCTCTCTTTCTCAAAATAAATAACTAAACGTAAAAAAAAAAAAAAAAAAAGCAGAAGTATTAAAGTATTAAAGTTGTTCTGGAGTGCCTGGCTGGCTCAGTGGATAGAGCATGTAAGTCTTGGTTTGTGGTGGTGACTTCAAGCCCCACATCAGGGGTGGAGTTAAACAAACAAACAAACAAACAAACAATCAAAGTTGTTTCAGAGACAGTACAGTACCACATCCAAATGTCCTCTCAGGGACAGTAACATATGGCACAGCTTTGCCTTCACATCTTACACAACTGGGAATTTCATGTATGTTTCATAAGGAAACATCCAAAAATCCTCTATTAAAAACAAAACAAAACAAAACAAAACAAAAACACCTTACACTCGTAAGGAAATCCTTGCTGGCCATTCCTATAGAGGGCCAAACCTGAATTATCTAGTTTGGGCCCTATATAACATTTAGATGTGCAACAAATAAACAATGGGATGCCTTCAATAATAGTGTGTTTATAATATAAACACACTGGAGCTGTATGCAGATTTTCTTTTTAAGAAGAGGATGGTTGGTGATTTGGGGAAAGATCAATCCATACACAGGGACAGAGCTAAGAAAAACCTATAGAATTGGAATTCCATATTCTGGGCTCTGGGCTTTCTAAGTCACTCATTTACAAATGAGACAGTTTGAGGAGAGTAAATGTATTCACCTCCAAGTTCATAAAATCTGTATTTTATTTTCAAACCAAGTTCAAAGGAATATCACAAGTTTTCATTTCATTCTCTAGCAGTTTCCAAAAATAACATCTTAAATATATACCTCTTAGACCAACCCACTAACCCAAGGATTTATTTTAAGCTAAGACACAACTGGAACAGAATAAACTCTAAATATTGGAATGTAAAACTCCTAATCTCCCCACCTATATTGCTCAAGGACACAGTGGTGCCAAGGAGTGACCCAGAGCTGTGCATAAGTGGCAATATTCGAGGGTTTCTGACTATAAATCTTTATGTAATTATATGAAAAAATTGTTTTCATAGACAAGTTATGGCTCTCAATCCCTGAATATAATAAAAATTTAGATCTCTAAGAAAAGGACAGATATCCCCTCAAATCGTGCAGTTCTAAATCTTGCCCCTAGAATGGACCTAAAAACCTGAGCCGATGTTGCAGAAAATGACTTTTTCAAACAAGAAGTGATTGTGATAGTTTTGTTGCTTCTGGGAGTCCAGTGTGCAAATCTTATAGGGGAAAATAATCATGTTAAGGAGCCTAAACATTTTCACCAACATTTTCCACACTTGCCCACACTGTGATTGACAGATTTCCCAGAGAGGTTCTTCCTGTTTTAAACTTCTTTGGGGGGGGCGCCTGGGTGGCGCAGTCGGTTAAGCGTCCGACTTCAACCAGGTCACGATCTCACGGACCGTGAGTTCGAGCCCCGCGTCAGGCTCTGGGCTGATGGCTCGGAGCCTGGAGCCTGTTTCCGATTCTGTGTCTCCCTCTCTCTCTGCCCCTCCCCCATTCATGCTCTGTCTCTCTCTGTCCCCAAAAAATAAATAAAAACGTTGAAAAAAAATTTTTTTTAACTTCTTAGGAAATCCCAACCTGTCCACAGCCAGTTTTCTTTTAGATCTCTTCATTTAACACTTTTAAGAGGTTGGACTAACCATCCATCTAAAGAGAAAGGGAATTCCGTGTAATAGACACAAATCCTCTGAAACGACCCTTCACCTGACAGTTTTCCAAACAATTTAAGTGAAAGTGTCACATACTTGGGCCATTCTGACTCACTCATTTAGAGAGGAACATTTCTGGGCAAAACCCAGATGTTTTCTGACTTACTTGTTTGTTCATGCTCTTTCGGAGGCTCTTGCCACGGTAACGATCAATCAACAGGTGGTTACTCAGCTCCAAGAGCTTGGCATTGGGCTGGAGCTGGAATAGGGCAAGGGTCCTCCCCTCCCTTTGCTTACGGTTTCTTAACTGAAAGAAAACAATACAAAATAGTATATAACTGAGGTTTATCTGCATCTACTCTTCTAGTTTATTTATTTATTTTCTCTTCTAGTTTATTAACTCTGGAACAGCCAAAGAAAGTCTGCGGTCGCTGAATTGAGCCTCGAAAAATACATTAGATTCAACTGATGATAGCTACCATTTATTGGGCACTTGGGCCATGCCAGGCACCTGGACTAAGCATTTTACAGACATTTCTCACTTAACCTTCAAAAGATCCTATGAAGTGAGCTTTATTATTTCAGTTTTACATATGCAACAACAAAGGTTCAGCAGATTGAGGAACTTTCCAGAGGTCATGCTACTAAGTGGCAGTGCAGGTATAGAAACAGGTCTGTTCAATCTCTTAACTGCCCTGAACCATGCTCGTGCCTTACATGGTGGAAGTAGGGAAGAATGAAGCAGTGGGAAAATGGGGCAAGGATGTTCTCCAACTTTCAGCCCAGGTTGGGAGACAACCTGTGGGAACCCAGTGTTGATGGGTGTAACCTCAGCCACAAAGCCAAAGTGGTCATGCCCCACCATTTTCCGGTTTTTCCTCTTCACCAAGATCTAAAAAGACTTCTCAAGGTGAGTAAAGTCAGGGATAAAGAAGGGGATATAGGAATCTCCACTTCTATTCTTACAATCACACTGGGCAAATATCTGTCACCATTGCACTGTAAGATTCAGGATTGCTTTCAATTCAGTGAGTAATTTAGGAAGCAAGAGGGGTGTGTGTGTGTGTGTGTGTGTGTGTGTGTGTGTGTGTGTTTGAGTAGTAAATCTGGGTCCAGTCTAATATACAATGTGGAATGGATATCAAAGATTCTGACACAGCCCAGAGCCACAGAAAGCAGTGCTGTGTAGACAGAACATGAGCATGCTTGCCTTCATAGGCGTTACCTCTGGCTTCTGTGGCCTCTGTCAGTTGCTCCATGTTTGAGGGGTAGACATGTAGATTCTAGAAGTTTCCACAGTCCACTTGGATTCTTCCAAGGAAAAGGGCTTCGTTCTGCTGCTAATTAATTGCCTGATTTCCAAAAACTCATCTTGCATCTCTGGTGTTCAGTTGCCGCATCTGTCAATAGAACAGGGCACATCTCATGATCTCAGAGCTCTTCCAATTTGGAATTCTGTAACTCTGATGTCAACACTGTATTCCTTTCCACCCTTGGGGCCTGGGAGTCACTTTAGGCCTCACCCTCGGGTCACTTCCCCTGGGAACAGCCACACAGACTCCACATGCCCCAATAGACCGCTGGGTAGTGTAATCATACATATGTGAATGATGGAACATCACAGGAGGTGGGAAAAGGGAAAATAGGATGGTTTTCTTTCCATACCTCAGTTAATTTTTTATTGTGTGTCTACTAAGTGCTAAGCATTGTACTACATAGTTCTAAGCAGACATAGTTTCTGCTATCACGGGACTTATATTCACAGAGTTTTAAACAGTGATTAATTAAAGTAAGCTCAGAGAATTAGGAATTTGGAGCTGCTTCCTTACGCCTGTACTCTTCAATAGCTTCCTCCCGGTTTCCCTGACTCCTTTCTCTCCTTTCTGGCTTTTCTACCAAACTAATCTTCTTAAAATACCCCTTAGGCTAAAATGTCTCTAATGTCTTTCCCTGGTACCTTTTTATCCTGTAATGAAATCCAGGCTTCTAAGCTCCCCATGAAGCCCCTCTGCAAAGTCAAGGTACCCACTTTTCATTCTTCTGTCATCCAATCAACTTTTCTGAGTCCTTCAACCAAACTAGCTTATTTGTGGGCTCCCCAATCACTTCTTGGGGTTTTCTGCTTCCCCATATATTTGTGTTTTTTTAAAGATTTAGTGGGTAGGCGTGCCTGGGTGGCTCAGTCAGTTAAGCGTCCAGCTTCAGCTCAGGTCATGAGTTCGCCGTTCATGAGTTCGAGCCCCGTGTCAGGCTCTGTGCTGACAGCTCAGAGCCTGGAGCCTGCTTCTGATTCTGTGTCTCCCTCTCTCTCTCTGCCCCTCTCCCGCTCACACTCTGTCTCTTTCTCTCAAAAATAAATAAATATTAAAAAAATTTTTTTTAAAGATTTAGTGGTTAGATTTAAAATGTACTTGGGGCGCCTGGGTGGCTCAGTTGATTAAGCATCCGACTTCAGCTCAGGTCACGATCTCACGGTCCGTGAGTTCCAGCCCCGCGTCGGGCTCTGGGCTGATGGCTCAGAGCCTGGAGCCTGCTTCTGAATCTGTGTCTCCCTCTCTCTCTGCCCCTCCCCCGTTCATGCTCTGTCTCTCTCTGTCTCAAAAATAAATAAACGTTAAAAAAAATTTTTTTAATGTACTAAAGTAATGCACACTTATTTTAAGAAATAGAACAATACAGATATGAAATGCATTAGTAATTTCTTCATCCCCCTCCATTTCATTCCCTCTGACAGAAGCACATTATTGTTTCTCTAAATTTAAAGAAAATCATACAAGTAATAAAGAAAACATCCATACACCCTTTACCCAGATTCACTAATTTGTAACATTTTGGCACATTGGTTCTGTTCCCTCCCTCCCTCTCTCTCTCCACCTCCACCCCAACACACATTGTTAATTTTTTTCTGAGTTATTTAAATAGTTTACACACATCATGCCTCTTTACCCCTTAATGTCCCAGTGTGTGTTTCCTAAAAACAAAAATATCCTCAGTATAATTATCAGTTTCAGGAAATTTAACGTTGATACAACACTTTTATCTAAATTCCATACTCTATTTTTTTCAATGGATTCAATTCTGTCTTTCACAAATTTTTTTGCCCCATCCTGTACAGGATCTGGTCCAGGATCACATATTACATTTAGCTCTCATGCTTCTTTAATCTCCTTTAATCTGGAATCTTGTTTTTCTTTGTCCTTCATGCCAGTGACATTTCTGAAGAATGAAGTCCAGTTTCATTATTTTATAAGTTTTTAATAATAAAATATTTTCTACTCTATGATTTATATATATATTTATATTTTAATAAAGTATTTGGAGTCTGGTGTTTTCTCTCTCTTTTTATTTTTATTATTTTTTTAAAGTTTATTTATTTTTGAGACAGAGAGAGAGCATGGGTGCAACAGAGTGGGGGGAGGGGCAGAGAGAGGGGACAGAGGATCCATGGAGGGCTGGGACTCACGAACCCTAAGATCATGACATGAGCCAAAGTCTGACCTGGCTTAACCAACTGAACCACCCGGGGCCCCTCTCTCTAACTTTTTAAATGTCATTTCCATCCCTGTGAATGCCTCTTTATCCACCCAAGTCCTACTTGTCCTTCAAGGCTTAGTTATAATCCCTTTTCCCCTGGCCCTTGCTGGAGGCCAGAGAGTACCTCTTAGACTTCTTTACATCTGCCAAGACACCCAGCACTGTGCTTAGTACACACGGGGCAATTAATAAATATTTGTTGATTAATTGATTTGTGGCTGAGACATGAGTACTGTCCTCTGCAAAGACAGAACTTTTCATGTAGGCTTAGCAAGTCAAGATTGGTATCTTTGCTGCCTCTTGCTTCTGGGGTTTTGCAATTATTGAGGTAAGTTTTGGATTCAAAACTGGATCCTTGGCTATAGATTTGGCTACACCATGGAACTGCGGGGGGGAAATGATGTTTAAAAAGTTTCTCAATAGATAATTAACAGCATGAAATAAAAGTAATTTTCCCGACTATTTCATTCCTCCCAAATTTTAGTAAACTGAAAAAGTGGTAAGTTAAAAAATGTTTTTAATGGTTATTTATTTTTGAGAGAGAGAGCGAGCGCGCGCGCACGCGTGCGCGCGTGCGCGAGTGGGGGAGGGGCAGAGAGAGAGAGGGAGACAGAATCCAAAGCAGGCTCCAGGCTCTGAGCTGTCAGCACAGAGCCCGATGTGGGACTCAAACCCACGAACTGTGAGATCATGACCTGAGCCGAAGTTGGATGCTTAACCGACTGAACCATCCAGGTGCCCCATGAAAAAGTGGTAAGTTTTAAAAAAGGTTTCATAGATCAATGAACCAAAACTGGTTGAATTGCAATCCAGTATATTTCAATATAGTCTGTCCTTATGGTATCAATGTATAGGAGATTGAAGAAGGCTGGTTTATTTAGAGAATAGGCTGTACAGAGGAGATTATAAATTATAAATTGAGAGAATGCTTTCCTACTAAGCGCTATCTGTTTGTCAACATCATACAAACCTTTTTGCCCTTGCCTGAGAAAGCACTAGACTCTTATCAAGTCTTGGTAAGTTTTGAAAATCACATGGTTGTTCAATGCCTCCATGTGGTAGAAAAAAATAATTTAGCTCTTCCCAGCTTCCTGTGATAGCAACCTTTAAGACCAGTAAAGTCTAACAATGCTTAGGGTCCTTCAAAGGGATCAGTGTTTTTTTAAAAAAAGGCCTGCAGAAAAATGGCCCAAATTGAAGATAAAAGCCCCAGATCTCATTAGGCTTCATGGAATTGACCCTTCTTTTCGAACCTTCCTTATCTTTCTGTATAAGAAATGGCATTTTTCAGGCAAAGGAGCATCATAAAAGAAAACAAGTGGCCTGAAATCTGCAGTGAGTCCATCTTTTCAGAAAGTCTTTATAGAAATTCTTTTTAAATTCCAAACATAAGATTTTTTTTTCTTTTGACAGAAAAAGGAAATCCTTTCTATCCAGCCACAAGGTAAGTTGAAAACCCCTTATTAACAAGTGTTAATTTGTTTGACGATTCTTTAGATATGAAATTGGCCAAAGAGAATGGTCAGCTTTATGAAAGACTTGAAGTTCAATTTAAGCAAGAAGCCAAAAATAGGAGTGCTCAAAAGTTAGACAGGGTCTCTTTCTTTTGAATCAATGATATCATTTCACCTACTAGGGATCAGTCAGCACCTTGATCTTCAAGTGCTTCTACTTAAAAGTACTTAATACTCTAAAGATGGCTTGAAGAAGAGAGTTGGATTATTCTGAGAATCAGGAATAGGCATTAGTAAAAACTGAAGCCTACTTTCTCAAAGCTCGGGGATATCACGGTGTTGCACCACTTGGGCTTCGGTTAACTGGATGCATCTTTTAAATGTAAATTGAGCATTCCTATCAAAGCATCCAATGTATATGTATGCATTTGCTTGTGTTAGCATAGCCAACCACAGAGCTGGGGGGGGGGGGAGGGGAGGGCAGAGGGATATTTTCCAGGTGTACCTTTTGATTTCTTTAGAATAATATAGCATGAGAATGTATTACCTGTTTAAGATGCATCCATAAATATGAAATAAACAAACAAGAAAGATTTTTCTCAGAATGGGGAGATGGGAACTTTGGTGGTGGTCATTATTTGGCTTAAGTAAATGTTATAAAAGCAGTGATTCTTTAACTTGTTCCCACTTTTTCAGTTTCCCAATTGTCTTGATTGTTAATATGGTCTTGAAAATATTATCTGACTTTTTTTAAGATTTTATTTTTAAGTAATCTCTACTCCCAACGTGGGGCTTAAACCTACAACCCTGAGATCAGGAGTCACATACTCCACCGACTGAGCCAGCCAGGAGCCCATAGAGTTCTTTTATATTTAATACATATATTGTATATTAATATATATTAATATATAATGTATACATTATATTTAATACATATGTTAATATATACTTTAATGTTTGTTTAAAATTTTTTTAATGTTTATTTATTTTTGAAAGAGAGAATGAGAGACAGGGCACAAGTAGGGGAGGGGCAGAGAGAGAGAGGGAGACACAGAATCCAAAGCAGGCTCCAGGCTCTGAGCTTTCAGCACAGAGCCCAACAGGAGGCTCGAACTCCCGAACCGGTGAGGTCATGACCTGAGACGAAGTTGGATGCTTAACCAACTGAGCCACCCAGGTGCCCCAATACACATTTTTTAACTGAGGCTTCCCCCTCTACCGCCCTCCACCACCCCCGCCCCCAAATTGCCAAAAGTGACAAAATCATCTGCAGTCAGCATGAGCCATAAACCACAATTTTGCCACCGACTTGCTGCATGACCTTGAACAAGACCTACAGGCTTTGTCTTAATTTCTTCACCTAGAACATGAGGAATTTGAACTTGATTATATCTTAGGCCCCTTCTAGTAAACAAAATTCTATTATTCCTTAACTCTTTCTCTTAGGAGGTTTTTTATATTTGTCATCAATTCTAAGTCCTAAAGACTCAATGTCCTAACAAATTCCTGAGAATTAGTATCAGGGTGGGATTATTAATAATTTACTTTGCATAACAGTTAACAAACCATCCTTATTTTAAATACACATTGTTTTTTCTAACAACTCTGCCAGTGGGTACAGCACAGGTAGTCTTTCTCTTTATAGATGATGTAACTGAGGCTCACAGAGGTCAATTTAACTCCTTAGGCCTTGTAGTTAATATGTAAAACTGGAAGGTTGCAAATGAACTTTTAGTTTTTTTATGATTCAGACAACTGTATATTTAAAATGAGCTGATGTAATGATTAGTCTTTGAGAGCAGTGAATTCTTTTCTAAACATTTTGGGGTTTTTAATTCCCCCTCAGTAGGTCATTCTCAAACCATAAAGCACTAGCCAGGGTTAGAGATAAGGACTAGTAACACAAAAGAGGGCTAGTATCCCTCTAGACTGGTGGTTGGGAAAACACTTATAGAGAAGGAGCCCTTCAATTACATGATTTATTTCCCCAGGGTCCAACCCAAGCATCAACAGTGAAACACCAACTATCGTTTTCAGGTTTTTTGGTTTTTTTCTTTAAGTATTATTATATTTAGTATCCAAGTATATGATATATGCAAACAAAAAATAAAGAAAAAATTCACCCACTGTCCTAGCCATATCAATGAATCAAACATTTTATTTTCCTGTCTTCTCTGCCAGCTCCCTTCTTTAAAAAAATTTTTTTTAATGTTTATTTTTGAGAAAGACAGAGACACAGCACAAGCGGGGAAGGAGCAAGAGAGAGAGGGAGACACAGAATCGGAAACAGGCTCCAGGCTCTGAGCTGTCAGCACAGAGCCCGATGAGGGGCTCGAACTCACAAACCCTGAGATCATGACCTGAGCCAAAGCCGGACGCTCAACTGACTGAGCCACCCAGGCACCCCTCTCTTCCTTATACATATATGATTTTTTACTGGTTGTACTCATAGTGTGTACATGGATTTTAAAGTATCAGAAGTCAAATTTTTATAAGAGGAAGTCTCAATTTTAATAACTGTTTTTAGATTATTTCCTCCATCCCAACTCGGTTGGGATGAAAATTTCACATTTGCTTATTGTTTTCCTCTGAATTTATGTATTTTTCATCAGAAGCACAAAATATATACAACCTGGTTTTAGAAAGATTTTTTTGGTTGCTGTTTTCAAATAACATAGAACAGGGAATGTCATTTCAAAAACTATATCTATTCTACCAGGACTCCTGAAACCAAACACATGTGTGGGGATCTTTCAAAATTTCTATGTATTTGAGTGACTGAGGGATAGCTCTGTCTGAAGATAGGAGGCTGGAGGCTGAAATGATGACTTACAAATTTTTCCCACATTTTGGACTTCTTGATTCTATGACAATTCCTGGTACATACAGGTTTCCTGGTAAGGGTTAAGAAGCATGCACATATTACTTTATGAATCATGATAAAGTTGGAGTTTTAAAGTTGAGGACTAGAAAGGCTTTAGGTGGGTGGTAAGAAGGCTTGTTTTCCAGGTTAGTGGATATGCCATAAGATTTATCACCTTGTTGTGTTTCCCTGTGGTAACTGAAGTCACTGTTGCCATGATAAAGGACGGCAATTTGAATGAGATCATTTAGAATGGCTCCTGGAAATCTGACATGGTGGTCTCCTTAATGTACCAGACCTTATATACATGGCATTGCATATACATCTTCAGTTTCCTTCAACTGAAATGACAGTGAGAAACGAATCATAATTTGAGGGCTTAATCTTTTTTTTGGAGGGGTGGCTTAATCTTAAAAAAATTAATCTTGGTAAAAATACTAAACAGGAATAGTTAAGAATTACTGAGTGCTTATTCTAAAGATACAAAGATTAGCTGAATAGCATTTGTATTGTTGAAGCAAGTACTGGAGTCCCAAAACTTTTGATTTAAAATTTCCAAAAAAATCAAACTTTCTATTTAAAGTAAGCTGACACCAAAAATTCTAAATCCAGTTTAATTCAGTAGTAAAGGGTTTATTCCCAGTGATTTCTCACATTTGTAAGCCTGTTACACGTTGGTTTTCCCTGTCATGAATCCTTTCCATCACATTTATAAAACACCACCACTTTTTATAAAAAGTGACCAGAAGAATATAAAATTGTAAAATTGCACGTGCCTGAGCAGAAAACTCCTACTTTTGAGATTTTTTTCACAGGCGTGCCTAAACCGACCTGTGCTCTCAGCAGGTAAATTGCCAGAGGGAGAAGCCAGTGTCAGCTCAAAGGAAAACCCTGTTGTGGGATTTCTTTTTTCCCCTTAAACCGATCACTTTTTAGGGGGCGTTTCCACTGCATTCTCTAGTCCAAAGTCCTTCCCACCAAATTACTACTTTCCCCACCAATTTGTCACCCCCCCCCTTTCCCAAAGCCCTTATTGGAAAGAACTTCCTCTCGTGGCCACCCTATTCCATACAGTTCCCAGCGCCCCCCATCTCGAAACGGCTTCCCCTCTCCAACCCAGGATCCAGGTCCCCAAGCCACTTGAGAGAAAATTCCCACCTCTCGCCCCCTTCCTTGGCGTCCCGAGGCGGCGGCGGTGTGGGGGAGTGGGTGGGGAAGGGCAGGGTTTCCCGGGGTCCCCTGTGTCCTCCTCGCGCCCCCCCGGAGGTGTGCAGGGGGAGGGGAGCGCGGGTGGGTGGGACCGGGCCGGGTGGGGGAGGGGTAAGGGCGAGGAGGAGGAGGAGGAGAAGGAGGAGGAGGAGGAGTGTGTGCGAGCGTGTGTGGCTGGGGGAAGCCATTGCCTGTTTAATAGTTGCTGTTGCTGCACTTCCGCTTCTCTCCCAGCGAGAGAGAGACACGAGTGGCCAGGCCCAGCCGCAGCCGCAGCAGCAGCCGCCGCGGCGGCACGGAGGAGCCAGACACAAAGAGAGGTACGGGGATCCCCCCCGCCTCCCGCCGCCCCCCGGCCGCGTCGCCGGGCCTCGGGGACACCCCTCGCCGCCTCCCCGGACCCGCTCCGCCCGGACCGCCGGGCACGGGGCTGAGGGGGGGCGGAGAGGGGCCGAGGAGCCCCAGGGGTCCGGGGCCCGCCCGCGGGGGATGGGTAGGGACCCCGGGCCGCGTGGGGTGCGGGGGCCGCCCGCGTCGGGGGTGGGGGGGGGCATTGTGGCTCGAACTGTCAGCGCTGCCCTGGGAGCCCCCCACTGGCCGCTGAGGGGGCCGGGAGCGGGGGAGGGGGAGGCGGGGGAGCCCCGTTTTCTCCAGGGGCGGGGGCCCGCGGGGATTAACCCCTCCGGGGCGGAAGGGCTCATTGTTATTCCTCCGCTGTGGAGGCCGAGCCCCCCCCCCCCCCCCCTCGCCCCCCCCCCCCCAGGGGGGGCAGTCGGGCGTGTGCTCGGGACCCCCGCCCCAGCCCCTCAGCCCGAGCCGGGCGGCCGAGACACCGGCCTTCGGGGAGAGGCGTCGGGGCGCGGCGCCGGGGGGCCTCGGGCCTCGTCGTCCCTGCCCCCCCGCCGGCCTCTCCCTTCCCCCACCGGGCACCCGCTCCCCGCCTCCGTCCCCCCGTTTCGGCTTCCTCTCTTACTCTTCTCCGCCCCTCCTCTCTTCCCGATCTCGCCGAACTCCACTCCTGGCCCCCGCTGTCTCGCTTTGGCCACCCGCCCTCCGCGACCCCCGAAAAGCCGACAGAAACAGCCCCGAGGCCGGCACACCGCCGGGACCTTCCCTCCTTGCCCCGCCGAGGCTCTCCGCGCCCCCGCCCTGCCCTCCTCCGGCTGCTCGGCATCTCCCCTCCCAGCCCCGAGGGGAGCCCCGGGGGGCGCGGGAGGGGCCGCTCGCCTTGCTCCGGACCGTTTTCCCACCGCGTCCCCCACTTGGGGCCAAAAATAAACAAGCCGCGTCCGATTTGCAAAAGCCTTAATGGGCCTGTAGACTTTGAGAAACGAGTGGAGGGCGGTGGGCAGCCGGGTGCACCCCTGGCCGAAGCCCTCCTGACAGCACCCGATTTCCTTATTTATACTGACTGCATGGTTTGTGTGTTTCTGTTTTGTTTCCCTCCCCTTGCAGGGGCTGTTTGCGGGGTGGGGTGGGGGGTTCGCTATGTCGGATGACGATTCGAGGGCCAGCACCAGCTCCTCCTCATCTTCGTCCTCTAACCAGCAAACCGAGAAAGAAACAAACACCCCCAAGAAGAAGGAGAGTAAAGTCAGCATGAGCAAAAACTCCAAACTCCTCTCTACCAGCGCCAAGAGGTACCGTACTCCACCCCCATCCCCCTAGGCTTCCTATTTTCCGAACTGCCTCTTGCTGCAATTGGTCTGTCTCCCAATGAGGGGTCGCTTGAATGCTCCTCGTGGTTTGTGTGTTCTTAAAAATGAAAAAAGGGTCTTGGAAGTTTTAATTATTTTACTCTATTGCTTCTGTTTTTTTTTTTTTTTTTTTTCTTTTAATCGTTGTCCACGTGCAGCTGTTGTGGCTTGCCTCTCCCATTTCTGGCTGAAGTTTGTAAGAATCCTTGTTACTTTTATTAGTGACCCCCAAATCTGATTTCAGATTACTTGTCCTGTTAATCACTAGCTTGTGACCCTTGTCAAGGCTGTCATCCTACTTAATTACTAATACCTGCCCGGACGATTCTATCAAAATGAATTCTATTACCATCTTGTCTCCTCACCTGTTGCACGTATGGTCTTTTTTTGAGTAGAGCTTTCTTCACAAACTGCATAAGGAATAAATAATTCCTATTAATGGAGTAAAAAATTTAATAGGTGGAGACAGATGTTTTCAGATGGAATTTAAAGAGGTTCTTCTGATTGGGAGAGTTGAGGCAATAAATAATATAAAATGGGTATTCTAGGTTATTTGGGGGATTTTTTTTTTTCTCTTCTAAAACTTCCAATTTGCCAGATTTTAGGGAGACTCATTTTTTTCCATGCTATTTCCTCTCTTATGCTGTAAAAATCTTTGGTTCTTTTTCCAAGCTGAAGCCAACCAGTGACTCTTCTTTACTCTTTTCCTCTTATGTCTCTAGAAGAAGCTACTTTTTTACCTTGAGCATCCTTCAATAATATTCTCTGATCCCCATGACCCTTAAAATAATCTATAGCATATTCCTGGGAACCCGTGTGCCCTTTCATAAATCCTGCTGCTCTCAGGTGGACAGTCATTAAACTTTAAAGTGGCAAACCAGAAAGATAGTAAGGAATACAAATGGTGGGTTAAATAGGGGTATCTTTCTTAAAGGAATGTAAAATAAAATGGAATATGAGTCTTTAGATCTCTCCACTGAGTAGTGAGCCTGTGGAACTCAGAGTTTGAAAGTTTGTTCTTTCTCCCAGAAATCTGAAAAGTTGGTGAAGTGCTTTGGTGACCTAATCATGGGGGGGGGGGAGGGTGAAAGAGTGATTTTAGCTTAAATAGTGTAGAGGTCTAGGGTTAAATGGCAAAATTGCCTTAGCAAGATTGTTCTTATTTTCAGAGTGGTGGTTTGAGTGCAGGTCAGCTTCCCAGGAGTCCTAACTGGCCCTCACTGATGAGCCCGTGCTGGTTCTCCCAGAACCTGTCATCTACCCTGCCCACTTTAGATGGGGCTTTCCTTAATCTCCCCAACTTCCTACCCCTTTCCACCCCCATCTGCAGTAGCTGTGCTCCCTCATCCATGCTGGAGCAGCTTTTGACCTGACCTAAGGCAGGATATTTGCTTTAGGTCATTAGTATTTTTTGTGCACCAGGATATCCCCGGCACACATGAATATATTTGGGGGTAAAAGCACAGGTGTCAAATAAAAAATAGCCTCCTTTGTGTCAGCAAATTACTGAGGTGTATTTTTCATTAGACACAACTTGTCCATTTATTCTAAGTAAGTTAAGTTTTTTGGAATTGCCTGGGAAAGAGATAGTAGGTGTTAAAAAAAAAAAAAGGTGAAAAGCTACAAAGGGTTATTTTACCTGTAAAGTTAACATCAATTTTAGCTCCCTGGACATCTTGCTGAGGGAGTGTTAAAGCAGAGCTAAGATTAATAGTAGAGGCAAAAAATGGAGAGGAACAGTGTATTCAGGAAAAAATAAGGGGGAAATTAATGTTAGTAGGACCTTGTAGAAGCTGCTCTGTGAAATACATTGACTTGGAAGGTGAGTGTTGCCCGTGGACTTGGAAGGGGCACTATAGCAGGAGAGAATAAAAAAGAAGCCTGAATTGGCAGACGTAAAGTTACTTAACTACATATTTGATGGAAAGTGGTTTCGTTTCTAGTCCACAGGTAGAGGAAATGCCCCCACTGAGAGTGGTCTGGACAAGAATTATTCTGTGGAACATATATATGAGTTACTTCACAGATCTTGTGCCAGTAATTCTGGAAATGGTGCAAATGTTTGTTGCGGGGGTGAATTGGTAAAGCTGTTGGTATTATGCTTTTTAGGTATTAAAGAATTAACTATTCAGTAAATATTTTATGGTAGAGTTGGTATTGACAAGGAGAAGTGAGGTCAGTAGGTATTTTTATACAAGTTGTGCTCAGGTGGAGGTTATTTTTGCCTATATACCTAGGTCTTAACATACAGTCATTTCAATAGACACAGATAAAGAATCAGGAAACTGGAATTTCAAAGTTTTAGTCTAACATACAACGAGTCAAACAGTAGGGGTGTTTGGGAAGGTCTCAGAACTGAAATGCTTATTGGTAGCAAAAGAACTTAGCAGGACGCAGATAAGTAGATGTCCCTAAAGACACTGAGCAAACAGCTTCCTAAAACTGACCAGATTTGTAGGGGACAGGAAATGTCCTCCAATAGGAAGGTTTAAAGAACTTCCCCAATCACCACCCTTAATTTCTTTACTCACACTTGGAAAAAACACTACCTTCTAAAACCTATTCTCCATTGCATGTAGCCAGCTCAGAAAACCTTTGGAAAGAGAAAAGTTATTCATTGTGATTTCTGATCGCCTTTAGAATGTGTGTTTAGTTTTTTATTACTGTGCTGCCTC